AAAAAAATCAATTTTTTATTTTTTTAATAACCAACCGCAAACGCTTGAAGAAAACAACTTTTGGATTTGAGAGGTTTGAAGCGATATAGAACGATATAAAACGTTTCTCATAATTGTTGTCAAACGCCAATAACAGCTAGCATCCGCAAACGTAAGTGATAACGGATGAACCAATCAACCCCTTAATTAGATTTGTGTTCTGTAGTTTGGTTTCTTTCTCGCCATTAATACAAAACGAAGTTGGTGGCATTTGGCAAAAGAGAAAAAAGCCAACAAAGCACTTTCCTTCCGGACACATCAAAGAAAATCTCAGAAGCAAGAACCATCCTTGTCACGATGAATCCTTATTCTCCGGTTGCCACGTGTCATCTCCACCTTAACCGGGACCCTTCATGAACTTTCTCCTCCCTATTCACACCACCGCTCTTTCCCGGAAAGTCCAAAACTTTCTCTCGTTTTCTCTTCACCCTCTCAAACACCATAATCACCGATTCAACTTCCGTTATCTCAGCGATCCTCTGATACAGTAAACATAGGATTCGAATTTCCCGTGATTTTATCGGAAAGTAAGAAATGTATCAGTGGAACTTACCGTACCGAAAAGATGACGTGGAAACCGGAGGTAGTTCAAGGCCTTTATACCCAACTATGCTTGAAAATCCAGAACTCCGGTGGGGATTTATACGCAAAGTGTACTCTATAATCGCCTTTCAGCTTCTAGCCACCGTCGCCGTCGCCGCCACGGTGGTCACCGTCCGTCCTATATCTCTGTTCTTCGCAACCACCGGAGTTGGATTAAGTCTCTACATACTCATCATCATCACACCCCTCATAGGTAACTAAACCCATCACACTCCTCTGTTTTCTCTCAACTTCTTTCGTCGATTCGAAAGTTTCGATTTTTTTTCGAGTTTTGATTGATTTGTGTTTTGTGTTCTTCGATTCAGTGATGTGCCCATTGTACTACTATCATCAGAAACATCCGGTGAATTACTTGCTCTTGGGGGTTTTCACTTTGGCTCTTGCTTTTGCTGTTGGATTGACATGTGCCTTTACCAATGGTAAGACTTCAATTCGATTTTCGGAATTGAGATTTCAATATGTTGAAGATTTCAGTTGTTCTGATTTCTGTATGTGCTATTGGGAATTAGCTCTAAATAGTACTTTTGACTTAGTTTTAGCTTATCTGATCTCTCCATGTCATTGTATGTTCAATTATTGATTCTGGTTTTGATCTCTTTATATGCTTCTGCTTCCATTGTGGTTATGTTTGAACTTTGAAGTTTACTCTGTTTTGAAACAGGGAAAGTGATTCTCGAGTCAGCGATATTGACAACGAGTGTGGTGCTTTCACTCACCTTTTACACATTCTGGGCTGCTAAGAAAGGATATGACTTCAATTTCCTCGGACCCTTCTTGTTCGGTGCTCTCATCGTGCTTATTGTCTTCGCCTTTATACAAGTAACGCCACTTATTCCAAATCCACCATATGCATTAGAGAGGAAAGTGAGAGTTTTAGGCTAAGAAATTCATTATTTCATTAGCCATTAGAGAGAATGACAGATGAAGCCTATTGAACGTGGTAGTTCTTTGTAGAATTTTTTAGGCTAAGAAGTTAAAAACTTGATTTCACTATAGACATTAGAGAGAATGAGAGTTTTAAGCGTATTGAGTGTGGTAGTTTTCGTTGCCTTCTTTTTTTAGGCTCAAAAGTAGAAACTTAGTTTCACTATCGGCATTACAAAAAATGAAAGTCTTAACCTTATGAAATGTGGTAGCTTTGGTTCGCGTAACCCAGTTTCGGTTTATGGATTTATGTTGTGCAGATTTTGTTCCCACTAGGGCGGATATCGGTGATGATCTACGGTTGCTTAGCATCGATAATATTCTGCGGGTACATAGTCTATGATACAGACAATCTGATCAAACGACACACGTATGATGAGTACATTTGGGCAGCGATTTCGCTCTATCTAGATATCATCAACCTCTTCATGTCTCTTCTTACTGTATTTAGAGCCCTACAAAGATAAGGATTATGAGGATGAGGCAATTTAGCTTCATGATCTCTAAAAATGTTAAAATAAGAAAATGTTTTAGTTCTTGGTTATTGTCACATGTTCATGTAATTATAGAGGGAACACAGAAACAGTGGATCAAGAAATGATTATAAGGAAAATGCCAAAGTATGTGTATAGTGTAGCTAAGAACTATTCACGATAATTTACATGTATCATCATTCACGGAAAGATTTTCTAAACACTTTTCTAAGCAAATAAAAAACCTTCCTGTTAATGAAAACAACTTCCTAAACAACGAAGAAATCTTCTCAAAAATAAGTTTAAAGAAAGATTTTCACTTGTTTATGAAGACTTTCCTAAATAAATAAGAAACATTCTTCAAAATAAGTTTAAGAAGGATTTTCACTTGTTTAGAAATACCTCCCTAAACACATTTCTTCAAAATAAGTTTAGGAAGGATTTTCACTTATTTAGAAATACCTCCCTAAACACATTCCTAAACTAATAAGAAACTTTCCCAACAATAAGTTTATGAAGGATTTTCACTTGTTTAGGAAGACCTTCCTAAACAAATAAGAAACCTTCCTAACAATAAATTTAGGAAGGATTTTTACTAGTTTAGGAAGGTCTTCTTAAACACCTTCCTTAAACCTTCCCAACAATAAGTTTAGGAAATATTTTTACTTGTTTAGGAAGACCTTCTTAAACACCTTCCTAAGCAAATAAGAAATCTTTCTATAAATAAGTTAATGAAAACAACTTCCTAAACAAATGAGAAACATTCCCAAAAATAAGTTTAAGAAGGATTTTCACTTCTTTAGAAATGCATTCATAAACACCTTCTTAAACAAATGAGAAACCTTCTCAAAAATAAGTTTATGAAGGATTTCACTTGTTTAGGAAGGCCTTCCTAAACAAGTAGGAAACTTTCCTAAAAAATAAGTTTATGAAGGATTTATACTTGTTTAGGAAGGTTTTTCTAAACACCTTCCTAAACAAATAAAAAACATTCCCTAACAATAAGTTTATGAAGGATTTTCACTTGTTTAGGAATGATT